GCTAAATTAATCGATTTAATATCAACTAACACCTATTATTCATTTTCCTGATTTATTTATTCTCTAAAATTTTGCCATATGCCTTAGTGAGGGTGTGTGTGCATTCATGAACCCTGCGATGTCACATGGGGTGTTTTGTTGATTCCCAAATAAAGTGATGGCAGAAAATTTGCACCATGGCGCAATAATAAATATTAAGAATAAATTACAGAGTAAAAGTCAGATAGAAACAGATATATACACAGAGGGATGGTGAGGAGAATCATTATTACTTTTCCACGGAGTGCTAACTCTAACAGTATTAATAAGATAAAAAGTTAGCGAAATATTGGTTGAATAAAATTCATGCAATCAAAATAATCTAAATTTTTCGTGCGCGATCAGACGTTAAGTTTATTCTGGTAGACACAAAAATTGACTATTTTGAAAACATCTCGTTAGTCCCACTGGGTAGCCATGCAGGTTTCATTCGGCCTGAGGCCGCATTTGTTGCAGGCCTGCTATATACTGTGTCGTTTCCGTTAAATATACGTCTAACAAAGGTCCAGCCGCGTTGCATCATAAAGCTGCGGGCACTGTGCCACTAATGGTAAGTAGACATTCTCTAAGTCTGACGGAGACTTGGATCTTTAATAAAATAAAGAAACTGAAGATATAAAGCGTTGAATGTATAGCTGAAGATAGTCTGCACTAACTAATGATGAAGCGGAACAGAATCGCCTGGCACGTGGTAGGCATAGCACACATAAAAGGAAAGCCGAAAGAAACCACCTACGTTGTTTAGATTGATTGATGCGGAAAAGAGATTCAATACTGTAGAACACGCGGAGATTTCTTTTTCTTTTTTCCTTTTTTCAATACTCATTCTAAGAGCGTGATCTTAAAGTAACGGGGATTATATAAAAGCTACGTGGGATGTATAAGAAAATGGTACTGCAATATTTCAACCAAGCGAAGACCCACACGAAATAAATTGGCAAGGGTCTACGGTTGCACGAGAACTGTTCACAATATGTCTTGAAATGATATTGCTGAAAATGAGGTTGGCAGAGACGGGGAGTAGGCTGGAACGGCGGATGATTCAAGCATCTACAGTTTAAAGACAGACTTTTACTAATATCAAAAACATTAGATGAATAAGAAACAATGTTAAATTGCTCAAAAAGGGGAAGTCTCAATGTACGTTTGAAAAATGAAAAAGTAAAGAACAAGAAAATTGAATTATAATATTCAGAAAATCATCATAAAAACAAAACTGGGGCAATTACAACTTGTATATATTATATATATATATTATATTGTATATAAAATGTGAGCTGGATCTTTAAAAAGTAATCTTAACTTATCCACATAAATGAGCAACTTGTGTGTACAATGTCATCGAAATCAGCCGACAAATGTGAACGTGCATAAATAACATACACACACACAGTGGGGGTAAACAGATATTTGTTCTCATACAATTTTTTTATTTATTGTGCTTCCAACGAATGAATAAACATACTTTCATATAATTAACTGTACATAGATGCGTAACAACTAAATATGCACAGAAAACAATGTTTTGATAGAAATAAATCCCATTGATCCATTTTAATGCGTAAAACGTATTCGTACAATAAAAAAAAAAAAGAATATATAATCTTCATTTAATACTTTGTAGAATAGCCTTATTCACTTCTGCAGCAACCAACCTCTTCTTGTAGTTCTCATTTAATGATTTGCAAATTTTACATTGTATTTTGTTCTATTCTTCTTCGCATATGATATTCAGATTCGGGATGTTTGTTGGAGCTCTCAATTGGATTTGAATTTTCAAATAACGCCACAGATTCTTGATTGCTTTTAAATCTGACTTGGACATTTCAAGATATTTATTTTTAGCAAATCATGTCTTCATAGAAAAACAAGTGTCCTAAGGATCATTATCTTGTTGAAAGATCCGATCAAGATGAGGTTCAAGATTTTAGCTCAAATCATTAGATTTGCTTCCAAAAATATTTTGAAATGCTGCGGCATTCATTCTGTCATCTATTACTAATATATAATTACACCTTTTGCAGAAAAACAACCTGCAAACCATGATACTGTCACTTCGAATTAGAGGGTACATCCTCTGACCTCATCTGGTTTTTGATAGATAAATTCCCTGTCGAACAGCTTCTGTATGGGATATACATAATGACGTTGAATCGGTTAAACCGAAAAACAAAATAAAAAGAAATAAAACAAATAAAATATATATATAACCGAACTGTGTGTGAGGCACTGTGAGAGAGGAATGAAACAATTGATAGGACAGATAGATGGGAAAAGAAAAGAAATCACCCATATCACATAGAGCTAAAACAGATAGAAAAGAAAAAGAACTAGATAGATAGATAGAAATGTTAGATAGATAAGATCTGATAGATAGAAAAAGAAAAAGAAGTAGATTGATAATAGATAGATAGATAGAAATAGGGAAATTTTAAGATATAGATAGATATTAAAATCAGAGGAAGATTAAATAAAATAACAATAATAGATAGAAAAGAATAATAAACATATAATAAATATATATATATATATATATATATAATAATAAAATAGAAGATAGATAGATAGGATAACCAGCAATCATAAATAGATAGACAATGAATAATAAAAAAAAAAGAAGCAATAAGATAGATAAGCATTATAACAAGCAATAGATAGCAATAGATAATAGATAGATAGATATGAAAATAATAATAATAAGAATAAATGAAGAAGTTCTATTAAAATAGATAGATAGATAGATAGATATATCTACTGAACTGATTTTGCACGCAGTTTGAGAACTGCCATGGGTAAGAAATTCAACCAGATTTACACAGTCAATAAAATGAAAAAATATTTAAAAAAAATTACAATTGGAAAAAGAAGCTAAAGAAAGAAAAACGTTTTAGTAAGAAATGAAGAAAAAAAGAGAAAAAGAAAAAGAAAGAAAGAGTGTTCTAATAAGGGAAAGAACTCTGCAGATACCATGTGTCGATTTGGATGGTGTGACTTTGTAATGAGAAAAGAGTACACAATTGAAGATTAAGTCTTTTGACGTATAGACTGGCTTCAAGAGAAGAGAGAGAGAAAGAGAGAGAGAAAAAAAAAAAGAGAGAAAGAGGCCCTGAATAAGACATCTCGAAAATGTATAATAAGCCAACTGCAATTCTACATTGTTTTATGTATTCAGCCGCAGGCATGCTCTTAGAAATCTCCCGCTTCACCCAGTCACTTACCCGAACTGAACCTTTCTGTTTTGTTGCCTCCCACAAATACAACAAACATGCATTGAACAGGAAACCCATTCCTATTCCATCGTCCAATGCAGATTCCGTTTCAGACCGGAACTTTGCCTCACTTCTGCTGGATCGCAGTTTGTTATTTAGAATTAAACGGACTGATGGTGACCCTTTTTTGTGGAGAATAAGCGAAATAGAAATGTGGGCAATTTGCAATAAGTAAACAGCAACCGACGAGAAATGACACAAGGTAATTCGACGGCGCAAACAAATAGCAAAAGATGCCATCAAGAAACTAAGCAAAGAATTAAAAAATAGGAACATTTCATTAGAAAAGAAAGAAACGAGCGTCTTGCTCTAATGTAACGCCTAATCTTGTATATGGCACTGAATGCTGGACAATTTCCTCAAAGATGAAGAAAAGACATGAAGCGACGAATCCTAAGAGGAAGTCTTAAGTAACACCAAGAAAGTAAATGACATCGTTACATCATTTGCTGAAAACATTAGTGTTATGGTCCAAGTCCTTGTGAAACAGTGATGGTCCAAGATGGAGAAACCAATGAAAAAGAATAACACGAACATAGTATGGAAAGACAAAAATATATTACAACAGAAATACAAAGAAGTAGAAGTATTAGTAATGACTATCAGACGTATAGAGGGGAACTATGTTGTCTCGACAAGGATCATTCCAATCCTTACACATGCTCTCAAATTATCTCTCCGTTCATACACCTCTGAGAGGCGCAGTATTTATAACAAGCCAGAATAGTTCATTATTATTATGGTAAGCTACAATAATGCTAGAAATCAAGAAAACAGTACTGACTGGTATGTAATGTCTAATCTTATATAGGCACTGAATGTTGACTATTTAATCATAGATAAAAAAGACTTGCCAATTAATGCTGAAATTCAGGTTAGATAACATCTAGAAAGTGAGTACAAATGTATTAAGGGGTTGAGAAATAAACATTTGACTGAAAAGAAAAGAATGCTGTCCTGTTATTTAAATGCTAATCTTCAATACGGAAATGAATACTGGACAAGAACCTGACAGATGAAGGAAAGAAATGAATCGACAGAAATGTTTTTCTAAAGACGGATTCTGAGAATACGACGGAATGAGTATGTGAGCAACAAATAAGTCTTTTTTAAAAAATTGGAACAGTAAGAAATCTTATACTTACAATCGGAAAGAGACAACTGAGATTTCTGGTACATAATGAGGAATGCAGATCTGAAGAAATTTATCATTTACATGAGAGACTGAAGCAAAAGATATTCAGGGGAAAACAGCGAGTAACGAACTTAAATTTACGGAAATGGTTGGCTGATCGGAGGCAAAAGTGGTGCGATAAAGAAGCAACCATTATCTTCTTAATTCCTGTTCTTTTGTTTAATCTTCTTAATAATGTTTTTTTTTGATATTATTCATATGCAAGAAAACCTCTTCGCGTCTTAGTGGTTTTCTGTTCTTGCTTGAAGTGAAATGATTAAAACATGGAAGATATTTAGAGAGTGAAATGGACTTAGATATACAGGCGAAAATAAAACATTGATTTAGTGGTTTTTTATTATAATAATTTTGGCAAATGAATGATCGTATATAATCCAATAACAGGTGGAAGATATTTAGACAGTGATTACAAATTCATATTGGAAACATACTTTAGCAAATCAATAAAAATCATGTAACATACTTATACTCAGTTTCGATGATGGGCAAAACTACTGTTATAATGTGATATGGTCGTAAGATGAGAAGAAAGAGAATTTGAAATGATAAATGCGTAAAAGATGGAAAGTAAGAGAAAGAATAGTTTGCGAGGAAAAGGAAAATAAAGGGCGGACAGGAAGGAAGAAGGAAAGGAAGGAAAAGAAGGAGGAAGGGAAATACTGATCATGAAAATAAGTAGGTGGGAAGGAAGGAAATGTATATTGACAGTGAAGGAGAAGGAAAAGGAGGAGGAAGGAAAGGAGAAGGAATTCATATACTGGACATAAGGAAACTCCAAAAAGAAAGGCTCAAGAAAGAAAACAACAAATAGACAAAAAGAAAAGAATGGATTAAGAAAAGCAAACAAAGAAAGCAAGTAAGAAAAAAAAAAAGAAAGCAAACAGACAAAAAGAAAGAAAAGGATAAAGAAAGAAATGAGGAAGAAAGCAAAAAGGAAACAAATAAGTCAGAATGTAATGACAAAGAAAAAGAAAAGAAGCAAGTAAGAAACTAAAGAAAAGAAATGAATTTCTACTAAAGAAAAATATATTGTACATGCTTGGTAAAATGTAGCTACAACTAATTCCATCTGCTAAACAAATTAATTTTCCTGCTTTTTTGAATTGAAATGTTTAATTGTGTTGTCATCCGCCTCTTCTTTTCCGCAAGAGGAGCCAAGTTAGAACGTAAGAACAGCAGCTTTGTTGTTATCTTGTATGACATACAAAAAGTATATATATATATATATATATATATATATATATATGTGTGTGCGCATGTCTGTATGCATATAGATAGATGTGTGTGTGTGTGTGTGTGACAGAGTGTATTGGCATATATGAATGAAGGAGCATACATGTACGTATTTAGAGGATATGTACTGATATGTAAATGTATTTGCAGTTTCTATAATCATGTAATCACTGTCACAGTTGTGGTCTATGTTTGTTTTTACTCTAGATTTCTAGGCTCAAAAGCCACTCCAAGGTTTATTGAATGAGGTGAGATGAATGTAAAAGATGTGGTAGGGAAGTTAAGATTACAGAGGATAATGAGAATAGATAAAAGCTGACCCTTGTCGTGAAAAAATTAAGATTGTAGAATTCAGGGAAGCATTCATGTGAGTCTTTCCCATGATATGTGTGAGAGAGAAACATATTGTATGAAGGAGTATATATGTATATTCCTGTTTTTATAGGTACATTGTATGTGTAAAATAGGGAAGAATAAGGACTAGAAGGTAAAAAAAGAACTAACAAAAACCAAAACCAAAAAACAAAAAACAGCACACAGGTTGTTGAAAATATATCATATTTCTGATATAATATATATCTGATAAGGACAGTTGATGATCCCAAGTAACACAAAAATAAAAAAATAATGGTGTGTGGCAATGTCTTTTATTAGCCAGATATTTCCTGGTAAAAAAGGAGTTTCTCCGTCCAAAATTTTTAGTGAGAATCTTCACCATGTAGGTTATGTGTCTGCAATGCTAGTATAGGAAAGTTTCTCTCACTCATGAAACCCTCTATCACAGACAAGTAGTGGCAAAATTTCTATTGAAAACAATAAAAGTAGCCAATACAGAACATATGCATTGTTCTAGTTACTACTATAAGAAAATCTTTCTACTAGTGAAAAGACAACTGATTCAGTAAAAAACATAGGTAGTGTGAATTTGCTGTACTAGCCATGGAGAATAACACAGTGACTCAACCAAGACAGCCCATGATGGAACTGCTGTTACCAAATGCCAGTGTAAACCACATATGATGCTATGACTATGTCACAGTAACACACCACAAACAATTTTGATAGGAATGATGGCAGTGTAGGAACCAGCAATACAAAAAAAAGTTTTATGGAAATTTGGATTGAAAATGAGACAGTTTAAATTTTGAGACACATAATGAGGAAAGAGGACTTGCAGAATTTAACCCTCACAGGACATAGTAAAGGCAAAAGGTGGAGAGAGGGAAACAGTGAGTAACCCACCTAATGACCTTGTGAAATGGATGGCAGAACATAATCAGACAGGATAGTAACTGGAAAAATATTGCTTAGTGTGCAAGAGATAGGAAGTTGCAGAGAGTCAAGATCACCCACATGCTGAAGGGTCATGGTACATAAAAAAGAAGCAGCAGCATTTCAAATGTGGACGAACTTCTTAATAGAACTGGCAACTATCTTCAGTGACATTTGAACAGTTGTTGACACACTATCATCCAACAAGTAGAAATTGCTTTCTTACAAGATAAGCATTCATGCCGGAGTGAATAGGGCCAACATTAGTGTAGAGACAGTGGGGGAAAGAACCATTCATGAACATATCAGAAATGTCAAGTGTTTTTGTTTACATCTTTCCAGGAGAACTTTTTTTCTTGCTGACTAATTACACAGAATGAAATGAGGATCATCACTCCAGACACAGAGGCCAATGAACATGTCAAACAATGGAAGCATATTTATGGATGTGTTGGCCAAAAGTTACCACAATCACCGGAATTTTATAACTCATCATTGTTGATAATAGAGAAGCTATCAAAATTAATAAATACAAAATGCTCATTGAAGGTTTCTGGATCTTTTTAAAGATAACGCACCAGTACACATTTTACATATTGCACAAAACGAAAGCATGTCCCATAGTTCTAAGATTTCACCACCCCTACTATTCTCCTGAGCTGGCACTATCTGATATCTACATCTTCTCTTTCATAAAGTTATATGTGATAGGCAGGAACCTCCAGAGAAGGACAAATGGATTAAGCATGTAAAAATCCAGTTTCAACAAATAATGGAAGAAGTTAGTAAATCTAGTGGTTAAGATATGTGTCAAAGGAATAAATAATGTACCATTTTTTGTGCCTTTTCTATTCACTGGAAATAGTCAATGTTGTTTTGAGATAATTATGAAATCTGACTTCAAATGCCAACTTATAAATGCCATCTTGAGAAATAAGAAAAATTTATGAGGTGATTTTTAGGTTCAATTGAAGTCTTAACATTGTTTTCACACTGTGAATAAACTCATTGTTGGCACCAGCAGATGAAAAACATATCAGAAAATGCCAAGCACAAGATAACCTTGGTAGTCAGCATCATATTAAAAACTGTCAGTCATGAGTTATCTTGTGGTTGGCAGCCAAATAATGTTAAGGAAACTTCTTTAGATATATATGTGTGTGATATATATATATATATTTATTTATTTTAGGGTATTAAAACATCTTTTGAAATAAAATTTTTCACCATCAGTAGCTTAACATTGCCCTGATGAGACACATTTTACAGTGTTGAAACATAATTGCCATTCTGTAGCGATTTTAACATGTTTTATTATCCTAAAATAAATAATATTAAGATCTATTCTGTATTGATCCTCTTTTAAAGTAAATGTTACATATAGTGGAATTATATTCCATTTGTTCTCATTTTACCTGTTATATATATATATATATATATATATACACACACACACACACATAATTGCTATTAACAACATGCCAATGAACCAAAACAACAGACCATCAATGTAATCTATAAATTTTTTTGTTTAGTGAAAGGCTGTTAAATTTGTAATAACGATAAAACCACAAAAAGAAATATATTGGTCACACTATAAGCTCTTTTTTTAGACATCTTTGTTTGAGATATATATATATATTGTTATGAACTTGTAGCATATAGATGAACCACGGGTTCTAAAAAAAAGGAAAACGTGGTTTCTTTTCTCGGTCTTCATTCAGAAATGGAAGCGACACAAGGGAATCAACAAAAGAACAGACACAAGATGATGGATTTCAAAATAAAACATTTATTTTATATATATATAATGAAATAAAGAAAGAAAAAAAGAACATTCATTTAACAAAGGGGAGGACATCATTAAAAAGAATAGAAGGCACGAGCGAATACATACATATATATGAAAACAGATCAAGCCAAACGAATCAACTTATCTTGCAGTTGGGTTGATATCTTCACATAAAGTTTTGATTCGCCAGCGAGAGTGATGATAAAAACAATATCTTGGCGGCCGACAATGTTCCTGGATTCTTCTTCTTTTCACAAGTGTTCGAGGTCCCCAACATCTCATACAGGCATTTGGTTGGGTCGACCAGTTCCCTAGCAGTCCTTCCGACACTAGTCGACAGACTTTGCTGTCTTCCTCATCTCAGTGGGCGGTCTGACGATTTTTGCCCAGCAACGTTCAACTGCCGCTGGTCAGAGGGAAACTGAAAATTTTTTTGGTTTTCGCTGTCCCCAATGACAGTCACGTGGGGTTCCTTCGTCCTTGATCGGGTACCCAGGAGGATAGGGCGCAAATCACGCAGTGCCTGTGTGATGGCCAAAAGTTCAACACATGCTCAGTACGTTCCGATCACGTGAATCGCAGCAGGGAGACCCTGATGGTGCCTGGAATTCCTCATGGTCAAACGCGAAATCTTGAACCAGGTCATTCTCGCGTTGGGTCACTTGAAGTTCACGGGCCTTTTGGCTGGTGGGGGGGAAGAGAGGATAAGGAGAGAAAGAATTTGTAAAGAGAAAAGAAGGATATGGCTGATTATAGAATTTATTCGCTCGCGAAAGTCGGAAGCATTGGATTAAATTTCTGTTTTTTTTTTTTTTATTTATTTTTCTTTTTATATCTAACTAATTTTTTTTATTTAAGATTTTATTTAGCCTAACGCCTATATGGTTGATGAAATCGTGGCTACGTGACAATATATACACATATATATATATATATATATATATATATATATATATATATATATATATATATATATATATATATATATATATATATATATATATATATATATAATATATATACATATATATATATATATATATATATATATATATATATATATATATATATATATATATATATATATATATATATATATATATATATAAATTTTATAAAGTTGTATACGAAATTTTGGACACTTTTTTATGGTATATATATATATATATATATATATATATATATATATATTAATTTGAATTTAATTTCCAATTATAGAAAATTTGCTCTGTTTAATGAAAATAAGTACTGGAGCGCTAATTTGTGAGCTGATTTAACATATTCAAAATTGATGTTGTGTTAATAGGACCTCCTGGGATTATACCAACTGATTTCTACCATACATACACACACATGTATATATATATATATATATATATATATATATATATATATGATCATATATATATATACATATATATATATATATGACTATATATATATATATATTATTATATATATATATATATATATATATATATATATGTGTGTGTGTGTGTGTGTGTGTGTGTGTTGCATTCTGGCTTTACACAAGGGAATTACACTTGTTCTTACTTATATATAGTGCCAGTAATACCTACCTGGGGTAAGAAGCGACAGTACTACAACTCCTAGCTGAGTAGTAACCGTACTACCTTTTGTATTTGTGATATTGAATAGACTTGTTTTTTAAACCAACTTCGACTTGATTTTCTTATTTTTACTATTGTTAATGACACAACAATATATATACACACACATACACATGCACACACACATGCAATCATCAGGCATTACTTGGCTCGATTACTCCTTGCTGTCTTCTAAATACTTTTTTTTTTCTGAGTGTTAACTTTTTCCTATGCCCCCATTTTATATTCCATACACCCCGACATCCTCTGATATTGGAGCACTTTATCCCATAAATACAGCACAGTTTTCGGCCTCAGAAAAGTTTTGAACTAATGCGTCAAATATATATATATATATATTATATTATAATATATATATATATATAAAAACCGAAATATTATTAAATACAACACGGCTATTGACAGGATCAAAGCCGAATAAAAGACAGATTTACCCCATCAGCACGACAAACTCCCCTACGCAAACTACAAGGTAGTTTTAAAAAAATTGAAAAAGACAATGTCCAAAAAACCAGAAGGGACTTAAGACGCTTACGCCTTACGTTTTCCGTGTAGCCATTGTCCCGGAAAATATTGTAAATTATCGCCATTTTTTTCAACTTAAAAGGCAAAACATTCATCCACACACGGAACACACACAGATAGAAACAATTTTACGGGACTTAACACACAACACACACTGACACACACAGGGTGGGACACACATGCCAACCTAAAGCACGCTAAAACTCATGCAGTTATATAACCAGTGAAAGTATATTGTCAGAGTAATGCCATGAAAATATTTGTAGAAAAGGGAGGAAGCACATGACGTCTGTGAGAAAGTGACTGGAGTCTGGATGGAAATATGTACATTGCATATCCATCTTTGGATTTTGTTGAGAAATGAAGCAGTGGGGGTATTAAACCATACAGTATATATATATATATATATATATATATATATATATATATATATATATATATATATATAGCAGCCAATTCTTGAGGGAATGTTTTATTGAAATGAATTACAAACATTATATTTGCTTATTTTATCAGAGAAAATTTTATATTCACGAATATTTTTCCTTTTATTATTTTAATTGTTTTATACTTTGAAATATTAACGCGAATATGTAAAAGCTTTTACAGAAAATGTTTGTAATTTACACACACACACAATCATATATATATATATATATATATATATATATATATATATATATGTTCTGTGGAAATAGGTATTACGCCGCATTAAGACTGTTAACTTCATGCCTCAGTGATATCTTCAGACCATCTATATTATTTAGCGATCCTTGGTGAAAATTTTGATAAAGTCAAATCAACTGTTGAAACAATTTCAATTTTTTATATACATATATATATATATATATATATATATATATATATATATATATATAGATATATATATATATATAACATGCAAAGACTGTCAACAGGACGTCTCAATGCGATCTTACGATGAATTACATCATTTAGCGATCCTACAGATGTGGAGAAATCAAAAATTCTGATTTAAATGAAAACTACTAAAATTTAATAAACGTTACTTTAATCAATTAAAGCCAGAACACTACAACAATTTGTAAGCAAATAACTAAAATAAGAAGAAAAGAAATACCCTTTTTTGTACCAAATACAAGTGCTGTCGGGAATAATCATGATGCTGGGTATTTTTCCAACATTTTTGAATAATAATAAGCTTGTTTTATCAAATGAGCACAAGCCCTGTCGGTTGGGGCTTCAGAATACGCTGAATGCATAGCTGCAGAGGGTTAATCCCTCCAAATAAATAAGGCGTACTAAATTACGATAACCAGGTCAAACATAAGGCCTCTGATAGGAAGTTTTGAGGAGCGGAATCGCCCCTTAATTATT